AAGCTCCTATGCCTTTAAAAATGGCTGTAGGGCACTTTAACTAGACCTAATTGAATGAGGTTTAGATAAAGCATCCCACAGCCATTTTTAAACATCTGGGGCCTTAATACATGTGATACTGCAGTGTTTTAATTAGAGTGGCTGCCCAGAAACTGTCTAATTAAAACTCTCCTTCCCTGAACCTCCAAGCATGTGTATAGGCAGTCTTATGTTCCAGGAAGGGTAGTGGAGAAAGGGAAGCAAGCAGAAAAGAGAAGATTTTGAATGTAAAATGAAAATTTGTTTTTTGCCAATTCATTTATTAAAGTAACAGGGTATTTCTGATTACATGAACAAAGGGGATTGGGCCAGGTCGAGGAGAAGATTTGGGAGGTGTAAATACAGAAACAATAGAAGAGGGTATAGGAACAGATAAGGTCTCCGAGGGCATGTCCAGATGACTGTGCAGTTGCATTTCCCCATGGACAACAATAGCAGCACATAGTTGTGCCACTGCTACTTGTTCCTGGGAAACACTTAAGCACATACACTCTGGTTCTCAGCAAGTTGCCCCAGGTAGGGTAGGGAAGGCTGGGGTCAACACCTGGGCTAGCCCCAGCAACCTTATCTGAGGTCCTAGGGGCTTCCCGGGGCTCCAGTGGCAGTGATCCAGTGCACAGAGCCTTGCCGGCAGCTGGGGCGTGGCTCCAGCCTGCCAGGCTCCAGTTTTGAGCAGCGTACACTGCTGCCATGTGTACCACCCTGTTTTTTTCAGGTGTGGGGTTTTTTTTACTCTGGGGGATCCCTGTGTCAAAAACCCCCGCTATGTTGCTAATTATCAGAACAGCAAACACCTGTATGTGTGGCGTGTGCGGTAGCGGTGCGGCAGATGGGTCTATGTCACCACATTCCTCTCATATGTGCTTATTTGGACATGCCTCCAGATGGCAAGTGCTGGAGTGGGAAAGGGAAGAGCACTGAGGCAGAAAGGAAGAAGGTTTACCAAGGCTAGTGCCTACAAAGACAGTGAGGACCCAGAAGAACTTACTAGTGATACATATTAAGAAAAAAATTCCCGTTGATAAAGGACTGTCATGCTTGGGAGAAATAAAACTGAATCATTGCATTCCATTTTGATTGAGTTGAAGGGTGGGTTGCAGTGAGATTTGATTACTGGACAAGAGTTTGGTATGACTGAGACTGGGGAACAGAAGAGAGAAGTGTAAAAAGTGGTGCTGCTTATTAAATAAACACCATAGATCTACATGGGAGACACATGTGGCTTAAAAGTCATAGAAGAGGCACCAACTTTGGTATCTGCTCAAAGGCTTTGCAAGGCCACTGTAGTAGTGGTAATTGTATTTGAGAAAAAATATAGTAGATATAAAGTAGTACTGAAGTTTGTAGCAAGAGGAACTAAATCAAGGTCTTCTTAAATGAAAACTCTACAGAAAGTACTGAAAAGATCACAGTCAGGGAGAGACTTTGTGCTTCCTCATCCTTTGAGTGCTGTAGTTTTAAGCACTCTAAGGCAGTCAAGAGAAGTACAAAATAAAAAAACATGTTCATGTTTTGATTTGTAGACTCCCAAATCAGGGGAGTTTTTGGCTTCAGGTCCCAGTCAAGTGGTTTGGGATTTGGCCAATCTTTGTTACAAACAGGGAGGATAAAACTGGCATCTGTGCAGTTGTTTGCAAAAACTTTTAGTTGGTGCTGGTAAAACCAAAACTTGGGGTATTTGAGAAACAGAACCCATTTTTATCAAGCCCCCTTACTGGGGAATGTCACAAAAATTGCCAGTGTTTCTCTATTTTTGACTGAGGGTAAAGTTGATGACATTTTTTTAAATTTTAATTTGAAAAATAAAAAATATACATATGTAACACATGTGTGCATATATATATATATATATATATCTGTATTTTATCATGTATGTATAAACATGTGTATTTGTGTGTATAAAACATATGTATAAAACATGAGAAAAAAATGTTATCAATATTTCTGATTTCATGACTTTTTCAAGAAACATCACCAGTCTTCGCAACAGAGTTGAAATTTTACCCAGACTGACAGTAGGAATAGTACACACATTTGGTTACATACTTTACACAAATGTGAGGGCATTGTTTTAAATTGCATTAAGTGATTGTTATCATAAAACAATAAAACCCCAAGTACTTTCGGTATAAATATAGCGGGCCTAATTCTACTCTTAGTTATGTTGGTGTAAGTCCAGAGTGATTCCACTGATATCATTTGATATATGTACACCAGCATGACTGAGGTCAGATCCCCATCAATATCCCTTGTGTTGGAAGTATTAATGTTGTAGCCTCCTCAGTTATCTGTGTTGCGGGATTCACTTCTTTCATACTTGTGAGTGCTTTTCTGTTCCTTTCTTACTGTCTCTACATTGAGCTTTGGGTCACAGAATGGTTTGAATCAAGGGTGTCAAACATACAGCCTGCAGGCCAGATCTGGCTTGCGGGGCTCTTAATGGGTCTGGGGGCTGGGTTAGCAGGGGGCAGGGCTTGGTGCAGAATCCAGTGCTATAGGGCTCTGTTTGCCATGGTTGTTGGTGGCACCAGTTTCAGTGAGGGCAGTGCTGACACTTTTGCCCTGTGGCTGCTTACCTTGCTCTTACTGTCCTTGCACCACCACAGTTGCTGCTCACCCTGCCATAGCCACAGCTACAACCCCTGCTGCCCCTGCCACTTGCCCTGTTGTTTTCTCCTGCAAAGAGCTCCACTGTCCAGATCCAGCCCAGGACACAGGGTGAGTTTGACACCTCTGGTTTAGACAGAAGGATATCCCTTTCAGGGAACTGGTGAGGTAGAGAACTGGTTAGGTACAGTACCCTCTGGTACTTAACAGGAATTATACCAAATGGGGTCAGGTAAAGTTGTTGAACATTTTCCTGAGTCTCAGAGAAGTTACCAAAGTCTCAAGGTATTTAAGGTTTGACACTCTAGTCTGTTCTATCAATAACCATATCAGTATTTAGGAGGTTTGAGGGTTTGCTTGTTTTTTTTTTTTTAAAAAAAGCATGTTATGTACAGTGTCTTGTAAGATTTGTGTCCAAACACAGTGGGGTGTGATATGAACAGCTTGTCTATTATTAGAAAATTATAATGCCTGTTGTTTTGCATGGTGCTACTACTATTACACAATGTTACCAGTAGTTGAGAGAGCATGTACAAATTATATTACATACAGCTAGGCTGCAGTCATTCCCTTGATCATATACGTTTATAGTAGAATTTGCTAAATTCATAAGCAACAACAGTCTGCAGCTCTTAAAGTAAACATTTTCTGTTTCCAGATGTACATGCAAAATGAGTTCCAAGGGTGAGTTATGTTTTTATTTCAGATGCCTCGAAAGTGTATGGATCTGTGCTAACACACATGCTGCCCCTCTGCTTTCTAACTGCTGGAATAATTGCAAAAGAGTAAGGGAACTGTCATGCTTGCATTTAAAATGAATAGCTCTGTTGACTTGGGGAAAAAAAAAGTCTCCTGATTTTACTGGGATAAGGGAAGGGAGAATTAAGCCTACAGTGACCAGAAAAAAAAAGAATAACACATGGCCAGATCCCAGGACTGGCCTGAGCATTTAGTGTTATTCTAAGGGTACAAAACAGCCACAGAAGCAGAAGTCTGATTCCCTTAGAGTAATGGGGGCCAAACTTTCTGGCAGAAGTGCCACAAATCAAGCCCCATGCCCTCCCTGAGTGCCACTTTGATCCCCCTCCCCTGCCCAAGCTGCAGCTCTGCTTTCTGCTCCCTGCCATGTGCTCCCTGCCCAATCATCTGTTCAGCTTTCTGCTCTCCTCACTACCTGCTGTGTTGCCTGCCCCCTCCCTGATATGCTGCAAGCCACACACAGAGGATGCCTGTGCTACTTGTGGCACATGTGTTGCAGGTTGCCACCCTTGCCTGAGAGAAACCTGGGTGTTGTGTGGAGGGCCACATGGATTAGCTGAGCAGTTCAGAATGAGTAAATGTCGTAAGTCAAAACTACTCCAATTTTCTGAGGTACCCAAAATTCAGCTCAGTCAATTCACTTCCCTCACTGCCATCATTTTTTTAAATCTTTGCATGCCTCTAAACTTCCAGCCTTTGCCTGAGACCAAGAATGTAAGAGCCAAAATACAGTTAAAGCTGTTCTTGTGTTGTTTCCAGCCCAACTGGAAGCAGGAAATACTTGAAATCTCACGGGGAAGTCTCTTCTCATGAGATTTCCAGTCTAGTTTTGTAGATCCAAGAGTTTTACATGCTTTGAATAAAGTTCAGATGCACAATTGAGACCAAATCCTACAGACAGGCACACAATACCTGCTGAATCCAGTAGGAGTTCTGCATATCCAGTGACTTCAGTAGTTTTCCACCATAAGCTTGATTTGCTCATTTGAAACGAATTTCAGAATAGCTTGCATAAAGCTGGATCAGAAATAGTGGAGTGTTGGAAGCACTTGCAATGGTTGGGCTGGGGATACGAGGTTTACACAGGTCCCTGAAGTTTGGGATCTATCTTAGATCAAAAGAAACAGGAGGGATCTGAGATTGGAATCTGAGAAAGGATAAGGAAGGAGGGTGGTGGCACATATGTTCTCATCTCTGCTCCTTTTGCTATTTCATGGACACTGTTGATTTCCTGTTGAGCTACATTTCACCTTAATGCAAATAACACTTCAGATCTGACAGACATGCTCAAGGGCTGCACAATGGATGGGAGGCACCACCGAAAACTGAACAGAACAGCAGTATTTGTTACTATTCAGAATGGGGCATCATGTTTTCATTGTGCTAAAGGAACAGTGTTCATCTGAGTGCTACTCCAAAGATATTACAAAGCTATTTTGTACAACGTCTGGGTTTATGAACATATTTATCATATATCCAGCCAAGTTCCCTCCTTTATAACTTCTTCTACCATTTGTTGTCTCTTTATTAATTTATTTACACAAGATTGTCTTTTATGTGTGCTAGTTATACTGATACTCTGTACTGTTGTTTACTCCTCTTTTGCAGTGTATAATGAAGCTCTTTCATATCTGTGCTGAATGATGTGGTCATAGACAATGTGTTAAGTGTTATGTCTCCAGGAGTAGGAACTAGGAGAGATTTTATAGTGTTTGTGTGAGTGTTACTTTTTTTCTTTTATGCAACAGCTGTCCTCACTGAACCCACACCTCCTGATGGCTGTTCATGTTCATGGCTGCTCATGGCTAATGTTGCTCTTTCCCTTAACCACTTGCAGGTGTAGAGGTTCTTGACAGCACTGGAAGTGGTGAAAGGGCAACATTCTGGTAGTCAGCATAGGGGTGACCACAGACATGGTGGAGCAGAGCTGCTTTGGGACTCACTGCATGCCATCACCCCAGCATTTTTATCAAGAGGGTGTGACCTGGGGAAAGGTTTATTACTGAGAGGAAACTTGGGTCACTGTTTTTCTACACCTGGGAGTGGGTAGGTACTGTTGGTTTGGACATGACTGCTTCCTTGAGTTTGCCATAGTGGCTGTAGCGTGTCTTTGTAGGGAGGGAGACATTGCATCTCCCACATTATAATGTTGACTCTATGCCATTGGGTTCCAGGGATGGGGCACTCACTCAGACCTCCATGCCTTTGGGGTTCTGTCCTTGAGTCACCATTCAGCAGAGACTGGTAGGGTGGTAAACAGCTTTATCTTTATTAGGAATAGGGTTAATCAATTTACATGCTCACAGCTTGCAGGGAGAACTACAACTACCCGCCACCACGAACCACACCCACAGGGCATCAGGGGAAGAGACTGGTTCATCCCACTGCTGGCCCCTTAAAAGTACATTCCATATAGCACACTCCCCTTCTGTACTCTGGGAACTCCCTCTTAAATAGTTGGATGTTCATCAGGTGCTACTTTTACACAGAATGTTTCAGGATCGTGGAGCCAGAGGTTGCTAGCGCTTGGCTCACCAATGGGGTCTAGCCTTTACTGCTATCCCATTATATAGTCCTTGTACTTCACAGACAGTCTCACCACACATTCACTCTTAGTTTGCGCAGTGTCAACAGGTTCATCTGTGGGTACTGCTGGATTCTCTGGAATGTGATGAAACTCTTGCTCGTGGTGGTCTGGTTCTTCTTCTGAAGTTTGTTCTGCTGCCGTCTCCTGAGGTACATCGACATGTTTTGCTGGTAGTGACGAGTAATCCTTTCTGTTCCTCCTGTAGATATTACCACTGGGGATTTTTACTGCATAGGAGCACAGTTCATCCCTTTTTGCCACGACGGATGCTGGTGTCCAAGCTGTACTTGTTTGCATCCTTACTTTCTCTCCTTCTTGTAGAGGTGGCAAGAATGCAGCCGTGCGGTCACAGTGCTCCTTTTGGCGTCTTTGAAGGTTCCGCAACTTGTGGGAGGCATTTGATGGTAGTCTTGGAGTTAGCACTGCCATTGTAGCAGGGAGGGTACTGTGCAAAATTTCCCCATCAGAAGCTGAGCTGGACCATACTCAAGACTGGTAATGGATGGGTTCTTTAGATTGAGTAAAGCCAGATATAGATCAGAGCTGTCCTGCAAAGTCTTCTTAAACATTGGTCTGAACTGTGCATTCAACCTGACCGTTAGATTGTGGGGAACCTGGGCTAGAATGCGTGATGGTTATGCCCCAGGCAGTCACAAATTGTTTCATCGTGTGGCTTGGAAATGGCACATGATTAGAGACAATCTGTTTAGGTATGCCATGATGAGCAAACAACAGACTTCATTTTGGCTACTACCATGCCAGCTGTTTTGTCTGGCAGGTGCAAAACTTCAGGGTAATAGTTGACTATAATCAAATAAGACTGTCCCCGTAGGTCAAAAATGTCCACTGCCAGTTTTAGCCAAGGCAGGTCTGGGATCTCATGTGAGATCATGGGCTCTTTTTTATTACTGGGTTGGAGCTCTTGACAAGGTGCACAATTTGCAATCCATTGCTCGATGTGGGCATTCATTTTAGGCCAATACATGATTTGTCAAGCTCACACTTTTGACCTTTGTATGCCTCGATGGGGCGAGTGAAGCAATGTCAACATGTTGGTCCTCACACCACTTGGAATGATTATTTTCAGCCCAGGCAAATCATCCTGAATCTGGATTTGGTTTCTGAGAGGCCAGTAGAGCTTTAGTTCGGGTTTAACTTTTTGCCTGCTTGCCCATCCATTAAGATGCTGTACTCTCAGGGCTTGTAGTTCCTTGTCAGACTTCGTGTGCTCCTGTAACTGCTGGAGTAACTGGTCACTGAGTGGCTCTGTTTCCATCAGACTGTGAATCACCTTTTCTGAGTGGAAAAGATCAGGTTCAGGAGGAGGAGTGAGCACTGTGGCTCTAGAAAGTGTGTCAGCCACTAACATGTCTTTGCCTTTGGTATAGTGAATCTGGATGTCATATTTTTGGAGCTGTAACAGCATACTCTGTAGCCGTGCCAGAGCCCTTCCTATGGGCTTTGCAAAAATTGCTTCCAGGGGTTTGTGGTCCGACTGGACCCGTACTTGGGTGCTATACACATATTGGTGGAACTTTGTCATGGCGAAGACAATTGCGAGTTCTTTTTCAATCTGAACATAATTTCTCTCAGATTGTGTTAGAGCCCTCGAAGCTTATGCAATTGGTTGATTCTGCTGAAACAGACATGCCCCTAAGTTGTCTTTGGATGCATCAGCTTGGATTTCCAGCTACTCTGCTGGGTTGAAGTACCTGAGCATAGGTGCTGTTGTGATGGTTTGCTTGAGCGTATCCAGGGCTGCCTGATGCTCAGGTCCCCATTGCCAAATAATGTCATTCCTGAGAAGCACTCTCAGTGGGGCTGTCAGGCTTGACTCATGTGGAATGTATTGTGCCGAGTACTGAATGATTCTGAGGAGTCTCTGAAGGCCTTTTTGTCTGCTGGAGCGGGCATCCTGTTGATGGCTTCCACTTTGTCATCTTTTGAGAAGATATGGCCCATATACCAAACACTGTCGACAAAAAACTATTTTGTCCTTATTAAACTTTACTCCTTTCAGACGTG